CCATGCCTTCCCAGCTGTAGTGTAACGAAGCAGTCGCTTGGCTAAGGGCAGATTGTTTTATTTTCTATTTTTCCCCGTGTTTCTTCTTTTTTTTTTTTTCGACTTGCCTTTACCCGAAAAGCTGATCCAAGCCGCTGCTTTTTGGAAGAGCTACATTTACAATTAGAAGTCAGTGAGTGTGCCTGCGTGTGTGTATGCGTCCATATGAGAAGCGATGGTGTTACCACTGATTCCGGATCCGGGGACTCAGGACTGTTGTCGTCATCGCCATCGCCGTCGCCGTGGTCCGGAGCCGATCGGCTTACACGCGGACCACGCATGAACGTGGAATAGTCTGTGATACCATTGCAACGGTGACTACTACTACTATTACTACCACAGGTGCAGATTTATTTACCAATACACGCACCAGCACCGACAAATCAATAATTGTGTGACTTTTGTTTAATATAGTTAAAAAAAATATTATTCACTTTGAGAAGTCATATAACCACATTCATTACACACAAAAAAAAATACATGCTTGACTTTGCTTTGGACATGTGCGCCTGTATTATGTATAGAAATTTATTTGCTCACAAGCATAAATATTCACAATACAAAAAAAAAGAGACGTGAGTACATTTAAAACATGATGTTTGCAGATTGCATGTTGAAAAGAAGTTTAATAATGATTTCACGGCATTTGACAGGATTTTTTTACACTTAAATATAAAAAAACCGTCTAGAAGCACAATTATAAACAGAGAGGCAAACAAAAAGCTCTCTGAAATATTCTTAATTCATATAACCAAAACAAACTCTTATATACAGAAAAGAATATTTAAATAAAACATTTCCAAAGAGAAAATCATGGATTTAACATTTTTTTGACAAAGCCCGGGATACACATCCTTCTTCTTCCAAGAGAATTCAAACTGATTTTTCTACCTAATTCGTAACTTTTATTTTCCTATATGGCTTTTCATCCGGAAATCATGAATGCAAATATTTGATCGTTGCATATAATAAAAAAAAAAACAAAAAAAAAAAACAATCCTTCACATCAACGCAGAAATACAGAAAATATAAGCATTTTTTTGTCTTTTATTTATCTTCGTAAAAAAAAAAAAAAAAGAGGAAAAAAAATTATATAATACTTATGAGAAATTAAATACTTACAAGTAAGTAAATGAATACGAAGATTCCCGAACATATTTTGACATAAAAAAAGCATCGCTTATCTATTGGATTATAACAGAAATCAATCAAAGCAAAGGAGTATCATCGCTCAGGATGAAAACTTTTTGTGTCATAAAATTATGACAGGATTATTTACGACCAATGGATCCAGATTACAAAAATGATAAAAAGGAAAACATTATTTACAAAATATCATATGGATCATTTACCTGCACAGATCTGTGAAAGCTGAAAAAATATAAAATCGTGTAGACAAATATATTTGGAGTTGCCAAGACGATCTTATTTTTTAAGTTACCAAAACTTGAATTAAGTCACTAGTAAATTTTATAATATATATATACAACAAGAATTCTGACCAAAGATAGAATTTGTGAAAAAATAAGAAAATATTCTTCCTAAAATTGAAAACAATATAAAGAAAAATAAAGAGGCGAAAAAGTAAGAAGCTTAACCACATGCAAAATATTTCAGAAATTAAAATAAAATCACAACAGAAAATTATGGAATTAGTTAATCATTTACAGAAGACAAACTATTTTTTTTCCTTGTTTATTTGGATATAATCTTTTAAAAAAATAAAAACGATACATGGAAGTTTACATGAAATTAATTTAACTGAAACCTTCAAACATCGGCATTTATCGAGCAACGGTGAGAAAATCAATAGCATTTCAAGATCAATATTATTTCATATTGCAGTTTTGTTATTCTCTGCATGAAATAAACAAATCATATCAGACGATGAGAACTCGTAATATTAGGAAATAAATTGAAAGTTCTAATATTAATATAGTAACAATATCGAACAAATGTATTGATAAATCATATTCAATCAAAATATCAGATATATTCAAGTAAATATGAATTCCAAGATAGCTGAAGTCAAATATTATCCATTAAATATTTTAAAATGCAATAAACCGTATTTATTTTCAAATCGTTCATTTTTTTATAGACTGCATCTATTATCTACAAGAACATTGTAATTAAGAACCAACTTTATTAATATTGTAATGTACAATTAGCCACAAAATTGATAAGAGATGCTAATCAAGGTCGTATCTTTTTTTTTATAGCGAGATTAATAAAATTTTGAAAAGGCATGCAAAAAAATAACTGACGAAATTATATCAAAGAATAGAATAGATTTTTATTTGTAGAAATATGAGAATATGTAAAGATTAAGTATGCCTCAGAAAATACGCCTGAAGTTCTAAAATAAGTTTCTGTAAAAGTACTGCGTCGAATAAAATTATATAAAAGGAAAATAATGTAAATTAGATTTCATTCAAAATAAAAATAATAATAATAATAATAATAACAACAACAACAACAAAGAAGCAGATTATAATACTACTACAACTCATAAGACGTATAAAAGTAGATTATATTATTAATAGATTATAGATAGCAGATTATACTATTACTTAGAAGTACATTATACTACTACTAATAATAAAATAATAAGGAGAGTATAATAATAATAATAATAATAATAATAATATTCACCAGTAGTATAATAAATTAATTAATAATAAATTATAATATTTCCAACAAGTATCAGATACTTGTTGCATGAAATAATAATAATAATAATAATAATAGAAATATTTAGGTGAATTGCTGTCACTTGATCTTCAATGGAAGAGCTATTAATAGTAGCTATTAATGGGAAATACCAGAATACAAATGACCTATAATAATTACATGCGAATATAAATAATTATTATTTCCAAAGGTAGAACACAAGTTTAAATCTAAGAGAACAACCTTAAATAAGTTTTCTTTTTCTTTTTTTCAATTCGCATATCGTAGTCAGATCCCCACAAAAAGCTTCGCTTTGCATTTGGCAGATCTTCTTCGCCTGTGCATCTGTGACACTCGACTGCAGTATCCTCGCCTTCTTTTCTTCACCAGCCCCATTCCATTGTACGTCGACAGCGTCCCTAACGGGCACATGTGCGTCACACAATAACGACAACAAGTCTATGCACTGTATTCCCCTCACCAGGAACTTTGTTCGCAACACGTGCAACTGGAAAGGTTGCTAAGACTCTTTTCTTCATTACAAACCAAGTTAAAGAGAAATGTACCGAAGAATGGAGGAACAGAGACAAATCAACATTGAACTGCTTTTTGATTTATACGCTATATTGCATTTCTGGGCAATCACTTAACGACAACCAATCAAATAAGAATTATTATTATAGAAGTTTCCTTTTAAAAGCATTCTCATAATCGCGACACATTCATACACATATATTCATTGTTATACAATAACATACGCAAATCAAATGTAAGGATTCACATCAACTTAGAGAAGTAAGCAATCGAAGAGATTTACATTAATATAAAAAGGGAAGGGATTGTTCTATCTATCTATCTATCTATCTATCTATCTATCTATCTATCTATCTGGTTTTGTTCATATCTATCTATCTATCTTTCTATCTGGCTGTCTGTCTATCTATCTATCTATCTTTCTATCTGTCTGTCTATCTATCTATCTGGCTGTCTGTCTATCTATCTATCTATCTATCTATCTATCTATCTGATTCTGTTCATATATATCTGATTCTGTTCATATTTATCTATCTGATTCTGTTCATATCTATCTATCTGATTCTGTTCATATCTATCTATCTGATTCTGTTCATATCTATCTATCTATCTATCTATCTATCTATCTATCTATCTATCTATCTATCTATCTATCTATCACAGTCTGTTGATTATCTTACAAATGTATTTACTGAAAAATATGCAAGCAAGTGAAAGATACGTCAGCTTATAGATAATGTTTCCTACAAAAAACGATTATCATACTAAAAACGTGTATATATAAAGCCTTAATTTTCTAACGCCTGTTAAATTCTACCGGGTGAGTATATAAAAAAACAACAGCTTCTAATCTCTATGGGAATAATCTACTTCCGGATTAATGATAAGAAACAAAGTCGAATAATATTTCAAAATTTCAGAGCACCAGATTTTCACGGGGATAGATCATCATTTTATTCGTGTTCTTTCAATATTTTAAGATTGGCATAGTTAACCTTATAAAAAAGGTTATCGCGAACTTGTAAGAAGGTATATGAAAATAGAGTTTACTTTACCAGTTTTAACCAGATTGCAGATTGATATTGGAATAAGTTTCAGACAGAGACGTAGAGTGAAATGCTTAACAATATTAAATATTTTATATATGTATATACAGAATAGTTTTTTTTTTCTTATTGAAAATGCATGTTCCTGCTTGTAAAATTTTCTTTACAGCGATGTAGTATATCAGAAAATATTAAATAATTAAAAAAAAAGATTTTAAAAATAAAAAAAAAGTTAAAAACGCTTTTAAAAGCCTATTCTTCACTAACAAGGAAAAAGTTAAATTAATACTTTGCAACTGGTTTGCATCAGATGTATTACTGGAAAAGTCAAGACACTTTGATCTGTTTATCTGTAAACTTTTTAAAAATTATCGAATAAGTCTTTAAAAGGTCAGTTGTTATCCTTTTCCTTTATCAGAGTTAATCTATCTACGCTAATCCCTAGCTCTCTTTAACGTATCGTAGACAATCTTATTTTCCACTCTTTAACTTCATCATTACGATCTCTCGTTTTATATCCATTTTATGTATACGTCCCTTTCTTGAGAGTTTATAATTGTCCTTCTTTTCTTGGTCTATATTTGTTCATAAATTGTTTCATTTTTCCTTTTTTGTACTGTTTCTATTGTTTTTAGTTTCCTTCAATTTTTTCTTCTCGACCCGCCACTCCATTACTTACTGTACACCCCAAAATATTTTACTTATTCCTTTCCCCCTCCTTTATATTCTGCTTTATTCGACTCTACCCCCCTCTCTCTCTCTTTCTCTGATAGTCCTTACTCTCCACCTTCTCTCCACGGTTTTCTGTCTATATCTTTCTTTTTCACTCCCTCTCTTGCTCTCCCTGCTACCCTAACTCTCCTTATTTTACATCTCTTCTCTTCTTTCTCACCCGTCTTCCTTTCCCCTTACTTCCCTCTCCCTACATTCTATACACTCCTACTCCCGATTCTCCTCCTCACTTTCAATCCGTCGCCTACACTGAACTACTCTCGACTTGCTGACTGATAGGCAGGTAGGCAGTCCCTTCTAATATACATACATACGCATACGTCTTGATCGGCCAGAGGGCGAGTGTTCGCCATCATGAGAGGGTGTATTAGCCGGAGGAATACCTAGAGCATTATTTCCACAAAAGCCAAGGTGGTCCGAAAAAAACGGACGAAGCAGACGGGGGGTTCGAAAGGGGGGGAAATTTCTAACCGTCCTGGACGCTATAGTTATGTAGATGATACGTAGGACTTTTATCACGTTCGTTATGCTTAGTGGACTTCTAAGTGCGTTCGTCTACACTCTACTCATCGCCTACAATACTTCGGTCCTGTTTGTAGGGGGTCGGCAGGTAGCGCTTGTTGGCCCTCCCGTCCTTTCAGCCCATAAGGACCCTCACTTGTCACCTGAACGACCACATATATTTGAAGCATTACAAGATAAAAACCTGGAACTTATACAGTTACACGAGAATCAGTCTCCGGAACAACGTATCCAGCAGGATATTAGTTATTCTATTAAATACAAACAGACAGAAAAGCAACAAGAAGGCAAGCACCAAATGCTCGCAAGTCCACTTGAAAAGCTTCTTGTTATTCGACACCATCATTTGCTTCCAAAACAACGCCATCATCGGCGTCATCTGTTGCGTCGACACCGTCGTCAACAACTACAAGATGATCAACAATTCATAATCGCGCCGTCCAATATTGCAGACTACAATGATCACGATGTTCAGGCGCTACCTCCATCACAGTCCTCGTCGTTTTTATCACCATTACAATCAATACCCAAATTATATTCATCTTCTCTAGTTCTAAATCCGTCTAATCCTTCATTACATAAGGAAGCGGAGATTCTAGCAGATTACGAGGGGTCACCGCGGACACTTGACAAGGATAGACCTGTACAAGCGGCCGTGCGTGATCCGTTGGCCTTACGCGCACACAAGCTACTACAGGAAAAATCCGTCCCCAAGCAAACATCAAAACGGCAACTATCAACCGAACAAAAACAATTAGAACGCTTACAAGTGATCCACAACCATGAACAAATTACCAGGCTCAACAGTGCAAACCCAAGTGTATTTTTACAAAATGGTTCTTACGTCCAGGTTTCTCGATCTCTATCCGGTAACACGGACCGGAGAGAAAGAAGCGCCGAAAAACACCTGTCAGATTCCGGACTTCCATCATCAGCATCGTCGTCTTCAACCTTCACAACGTCATCGTTATCCCCAGCAATACCATCCTCCCCTTCATTTGCATCTTCTTCACATTTGTCCCCGTCATTGCCACTGCGGCCGCCGTCAACATTACTGACGTCGTCTTTGTTGGCTGTGAAAAGGAGTCACAAAGCTGACACTGAGGACAGTGAAGTTAACACTGATAAAATCGGCGGTGAGAAAAATCACCGTGTTGGCGATGAGACTGATTCAAGCTACGGTATTCGTGCTTACGGCCGTCCAGAAGGTGTTGCCTTTCCCATCCGGCAACGGTTGAAGTTGAAAACTGAACCACTCAAGCCAGAAAATTTGGTCAACGCACGACACGTAGAAACATTGGTAGATATCAAATATGGCATTCGTGATTTAGAAGAGACTGTTGTAACGAATGATAACATAGAAAATTGGTACGGAAATGTAGATAATAATAATAATAATAATAGAGCGTGGACGGATGGTGGAATTGGTCGTATTGCTGCTGCTGATATTGGTGTCGGAAATGGAAATAACGCCGTCAAAGATTCCGAGGATGACGTTAACTTCTTCGACGCGGAAAGCATCAGTGAAGATGATATCGAAGAAGAGGAAGAAGATGAACTGGGTGAAGAGGATGTGGTCGTTGAACGAAATATGGTCCTCGGGAAAGAGACTGCTGACGGGTTCGGGGCCGAATCGGTAAGGACACACGTTATGAGCAATCTCGGTCAGTCGTTGCGCAACCGGATTCATCAGGGAGATGAAGACGAGGACAATATCGGCCGGGGAGATTCACAATTTCGCCTGATGCCGGCCTTACCAAAGTCTTCCAAGATAGTAACAATACGCGAAGGAGCTTCCAAGAAGCTACCGCAAGCGATAATCATCGGAGTGAAAAAAGGAGGCACAAGAGCGTTATTGGAGTTTTTACGTTTGCATCCGGATATCCGGGCGCCTGGACCGGAACCACATTTCTTTGACAGGCATTACAACAAAGGATTGGAATGGTACAGGTAAGTGACATTCGCTCCTTCATTCAATTATATATATATATATATGATAAAAATATGTCAAATATATTCTATATTTATAGGTAAATATGCTCAGTAAGAGAAATAGGGTGTATGTAATTATGTAATTCGACAGTGAGGTCAACTGCAAATGGTGACAGTCTGTTTCATGCTTCAAGGCAAGATTCACCGATATTTCATATATATACATGTATACATACATATATATATATATATATATATATATATATATATATATATATATATTTAATTGATATATATATTATATATATATATATATATATATATATATATGTATATATATTTTTTGAATTAATAATAACATATATGTATTTATGTATATATTTTTTCACTATTATTATTATTATTATTATTATTGTTATTATTATTATTAACTCAAACTGATATAGAATGTCTTTTGATCGTTTTAGTGAATTTCTTCTTGTGTTGATTAAATTGTTTGAAAATTATTATGAAACTTGCCGAATTTTTGTGTACTTTTTCCCGAGTACTTTCAAGCATCGTTGCCATTTCCTTGGATGAACGTAGAAGGCTGTTCTTATATATATATATATATATATATATATATATATATATATTGTGTTTGTATGTAGTTAGAGATGCTCTTTTTGTGTTTGTACTGCATGTATGTGTCCGTTGGTATATGTGTATGCAGAAGTTTAAATTTATTTTGCTACTCGTGTTTCATTAATCAAACCTGCTTTTCTCGTATGTTTTCCTATTCGGTTCAGCATGTTCATTTTGGTTGTCGTATTCACAACATTTCAATGTTCTCTTCAGTTATATTCAGATTTCTTCTGTTCTACTTGTTAACATTCTTTTAATTTCGAATTAAATTCTTTTTTTTTCTTCTCCCAATTCCCTTCTCCATGGTTATAAGATATTTTTCATACCAGTCAATATTCTTCATTCTCTTCACCTTTGAGTCATTTGTTAGTTTCTTCCACTGAGCCAGGTTGCAAGAGCTTTCTGCACTACAAGTCACAAAGATTAAACTCACAACTAGCAGACAAGTAATTATTTTTACCCAATGCTTAATCGCTGGATTGAAACAAAGGACGCTGCGATAAGAATTTGTTTTTTCTTCTTTCATAGTATTTACTCTCCAGATAATAAATATATTAGGATATTTAGTATAGGTTTGTATGAATAGAATATGTATTCTTTGGTTTAGATTAGTTTGGTTTATTTTGTTTTACGGCATATCAACCTCAATGGGTTATTTAATGCCGACAACATTTTTAGGATAGATTCGTATGGATAGAATATATATTCTTTGGTTTAGATTGGTTTGGTTTATTTTGTTGTACGGCATATCAACTTCAATGGATTATTTAATGCTGACAAATTTTTATTGCTGGTAATATTTTGTTTTGTCAAAAATCTCTTTCTGGTAATACATTTCCTTCAAAATTGTATTGCTGGTAATAATTTTTTCAAAAAAGTATTGATGGTAATAGTTAACTATTTGCTCATAGCTGGGACCCTAACAGGTGCTACCGCCCCGGTTCAGGGTAGACCTGGGAACACCAGCAATTAAGAGATGGTTCCACGCTCCTCAAAACCTCCTGATCAGAGGCCTTGCTGCTGGACGTAGTTTAACGTCTTACCCAGGGCGCGGATGTAGTTTAACGTCTTACCCCGGACGAGAATTCTGAGGGGGTTAAATTTAAAATAAATACACATAGCAAACTGGACCCCCATACTATCCTTTATTAAATTTAATTATTTTCTTAATATTCGTGAACTGGGGTGCTTAATTTACATTAGCATACAAACAAAAAAAACGTGAAAAACATTGTCTGTTCACTTTCACACTTTAATAAATAAAACTATGCATTTCGTTATGAAATGTAATATAAAATATAGATAATTTTTTATTACAAAAAAGAAACAAAAATATCATTACCATAACAGCTATCGATGTATATATATATATATATATATATATATATATATATATATATATATATATATATATATATATATATATATATATACATATATATATATATATATATATATATATATATATATATATATATATATATATATATATATATATATATATATATATATATATATATATATATATATATATATATATATATATATATATATATATATATATACATATATATATATATATATATATATATATATATATATACATATATATATATATATATATATATATATATATATATATATATATATATATATATATATATATATATATATATATACATATATATATATATATATATATATATATATATATATACATATATATATATATATATATATATATATATATATATATATATATATATATATATATATATATATATATATATATATATATATATATATATATATATATATATATATATACATATATATATATATATATATATATATATATATATATACATACATATATATATATACATACATACATACATATATATATACATACATACATATATACATACATACATACATACATACATACATATATATATATATATATATATATATATATATATATATATATATATATATATATATATTAATAGCTAAGGGAATAGGTAACTAGATTGCGTATTAAATTATGGCAAATTAATTTTTTTTTCTACGTTTCCAACCGCTATAGTACTACTATTTGAAATTTAGTTTATATTGATATAGTTTTTGAACCAACAAAATAAGAAGTATAACATTTTATGAGAATTTTGTGAAACTTTATAAGTGTCCTCGCCAATTGCCTTAGTTGCATCTTACATACATAAAAACATAAAAGCATACATACATGCAAACATGCATACAAACATGCATACATACAAAAATTTACGAACAGATAAATGGATGGATAGACAGTTAAGATTATAGATGTAAAACTCTAGGCATTTACTTAAGGCAACAATGCACGCACTCACGAATAAGAGGGATAGAATGTTATAACAAATATCAGAGTATTTTAAACAAAGTGTCAAGGTTAATTTCTGGATTATAACCTCACCCAGAAAATAACTAGAAAATAAATTGTGTTGATAAAGAGAGAAATAAAACTTTTTTTTTCTCACACAACAAAGTATTAATCAAACAAATATTCATTCAAAAATATTTTTCGGAATAACTTTTACCATTTTCGTTATGGTAGATTTCTGAAAACCTGAATAAAGTTTATAAAAGTACTTCTATTGTTTATAAAATACGAACTTTTATAGACTTTAAAAAAATTACAATATATCTTTCTACGATACACAGAACTCGAGCAACTGCATCTTTTCTTACTCTCCTTTCTAAGAAATCTATTTTGAACTAGAAAATTTAATAACATTATAAGATTTTTCTTCTACATTTTCTTTCAGGTTAACAGTCTCATAATTTAGAGATTATTACACCGAATATCTCATAAAAGTTTTATAACGACAAGTCCTTTCAGAAAGTAGCCATATTATAAAATCTTATACGTGAAACGTTAAACAACTTCCTACAAGTCTGAGTTGAAGATCTTTATCCAGGCGTGTTTTATTGAAAATATGTACGGTATTAAAACTTAGTAATACTTTTAATTTCAGTAAACCACTTCTAAGACGTTGACAAAAACAGTTATATAAATTAACATTATTTAGATTTCAAATGCAGAAACAGTTATATATGATCCAGTAATATACATTTCTAGCGAAATAAAAGTTTGTCGACACTTTTCCAATAGGCACATTTGATGATGATGATAATAATAATAATAATAATAATAATAATAATAATAATAATATCTCATCAAAATGGCAAACTAGTAAAATAGAAAAATGAGGAAATAAATCTTGGAAGAATTTGGCATTTAACCACAAACTCTAAGAATAATTACAAAGAATAGCGATATATATACTAAGAAAATCCCAGGAAAGCAATGGAAAATAGAAAAGTTTGCCTTTATGAGCACCACTCACATATATAGAAACATTCTCTCGTTGTTACAAGCACGGAAACTTTCTAAGAAAAATTTTCGTTTACATCAAGTCAGCCATAAAAGGATTGTATGAAACAGCAAATCAGCAAAATTAAAATCAATAATAATATTAATGATATTTATTTTTAAATTGTTCAGTGGAAAATTTCATTATGCCAGTTCTAACCTTAGGTCGGGTTTTATATAAAAATTATTACTATCGAGAATTTTGAACAATAATAATAATAGTCATCATCTTATATTTCCTGTGATATCTGGTGTGTACACAGTTCTTTCAAATGACCTAATAGTGGTGGTGGTGGTGGTGGTTTTTACGTTGGTAGTGATACTATTATTATTATTGTTCAAAACTCTCGATAGTAATAATTTTTATATAAAACCTGGGGGATAAAGTGATAGCAAGTCTATGATAATATGATAATAGCATCACTACCAACGCAAATACCATCACCACCAAATTTTATGTCAGTTCATGATTATCTTCTTCTCTGATTAAATATTCCAGCATCCACATCCGTATGAGAGGCTAACTGTTATTAAGCATTTATTTTCTTTATTTCCGAGGATTATACCGGTCTTGAAGTGCTTTACTCAAGAACTAATGAATTAGAAATGCATAAATATTACGATATTCCAAATTCTAGCATTTATAATTTGGATTAAGGTATTAAACAATTTTAGTTCATATTCTCGTTTATCTGTATGCAGTTGTTTATAGAGGCTTATGTAAGGGCAATGATCAAAGAATTGGGTACATTGACACAGATAAATCTACTACAACATAAGCCTTGTAAAAAGATACATTATCTCGTATGTCTCATAGATCTGAAATGATATATAAAATAATATGTAAATCAGAATAATTCTGTGATTCAGCGCTTTGATGCAGAGCTTTTGAAAATATGATTACCAGAAATATTACTTAATTTTATAAGTAACAACAAAGTATATGAAACTGGGATTTAAAATGTGTATGTAGTTAATAAACA